GAGTCAAAAGGTCTTGAAACAATATTATTGTTTATCACAATAATTTTTTAGACAATTAATCGTCCATCAAAATTTGTTATCGTGACAGGGATATTCATATCCCTTAAAATGATTTTGATTGATGTGCTTACTCAATACCTTCACAGTCAGCAATATGCAAACATTTTACTTGATTTGTCTCTATTGTTAGCTGACCAGATTAATGTATTTGAAACACTACAAAGCACATTGAGAGGCCTGTCTTTAACGTCGCAGTCACAAAGAAAATTACAAACTATCTATATTAAAACGTGACTTGTGGAAGAGTTTAAACTGGAAAATGACTGAAACCAGACAGAAATGCCCTTCCAATGCATCAGTCGTGTAGTGTAGTCCAAACTGCTCCACATTTATTCTGGATCATGGCAACCAGCCTACACATACAGGCAGAGTCATGCAATTCTACCTTCAGTGAAAAACACAAGCAGCGCTGCAGCAGATGGTGTGACCCACACAGAGCTCTAAACTCAACACGCCAGCACCTTCAAAAACTGTGTTTTCAAGACACATCAAGTATTGATAGTCAACAATGTGCTGATTTGAATTGCTTTGTATTTAGTAGTGCTTACTTAGGAAGTAAGCCAAAAACTTACTGCAAAGAAAATGAAAAGAGGGTGAAAAAAAAGGGTAAATCTGGAAAGGTTACCTGTAAATCTTTAAGGTAAGCGATTTCATGTGGTAGACACTCTAGCTTGTTTTCCTCCAAGTCAAGTTCTCGTAACTTTCTCAAACTTCCAATACCGTGTGGTAGCTTCTTCAGAAGATTATTGGAAAGTATTAATACCTGGAAGACAAGGAAGGAAATTCAAATGGACGTTAGGTGACAGTCTGGAATACATTTCTATGATTATTACAAATGACTGTTAATCAAGAACGTTTTGAGGATAACTACAAATGCACACAACACATTTTGTTTGCATTTATTCTTCTTTCACATTACTTTCCTGCACCATTTTGTTAAATCACATAAAATCCATTGAAATCTGTGGTTGCAACATGAGAAATTAAGAAAATTTACATGACATTCTCTCCAGTTTTTTTTTATCTAAGCATCCTCTTGGAACCTAATGTTTACATGCGTATTTATGACTGATGCACCTGTTTTTTCTCAGGTGGATCAGCCTACCATACCAGCCCATAACCTCTTGATTATAGGCTGCATAATCTAAAGCCTACAGGACAAGTTTGAAGTTTCAGACGCACCTCTAGAGACATAAGCCCACAGATGTCTTCTGGGATTTTATTCAGCTGATTAGTGGCCAGGTTAAGTTCAACCATGCTAGTCCATGTACCGAAATCCAACGGCAGCGCCGTTAGCTGGTTATCCTGAGGGAGGAAAAGACATTTTGTTTATCACCCATACGAAATGCAAAAGAACAGCAGGGAAGAAGATGTGCAGACTCAAATATTTTAGCTGCTACTTGCAGCTAAAAGGAAATGCTTTCAAGTGAAATATTCTTTACAAAAATAAAACCACATGCAAAACATGTTAGTGTAATTTTCATACAATCTTCATTTTTATAGGTTAAAAAATGTTTCTTCTTCTTATAACGATCAAACAACTGTTAAATAAGTGTTTTTCCCCAAAATGCAAAAACTGTCAACCTTGAATTTTATCCAAAGTTTTTGAAGAATTATCTAAGAAGCTAATATAATTTACTTTGTTTAAAAGAGAAAAAGAAGTTGAACATGTCAAGAATATTAATTATTTTATCAATTTTGAGGGAATAGTACATCAAGCTAGGGCGCAATATTGCAGATCTTTTCCATCTCTGTGTATTTAGTCAATCTAAAAGGCTAAATTTAGAGCTAGATGATGGATATGGAAGCTCAATACTGCTGCTCTGAATTGAGCGTTTAGCAATCAGTAAATCACTGTACTGCACACACCAATATTAGGGTGCAACACTGCCCCCTAGTGTTTTGGAAAATGAAAAGAGAAGCTGCAATTACTGGATAAAGATGCAATATTCTCTATCAAAAAACTACATCAAAGTCTACTTTTATGTATTTATTTTATTAGTTTTTAGGCAATACTGGTAAAATAAAAGACAATATAAGTAGTCCAGTTATGAAAATGTAAATTTGAAATGAACAAATTGTAAACTACTAGTGTCAAAACAAGAAATATTGATTCAATATCTATGAAATGCTTCAGGTTTAGCGTCCTGTTGTAGTTAAAGGCTCTGAATGATGGAGACGTTTTTAATCAGATAAGAGGAAATTAAAATACACATTCAATTCTACGATTTTTACAAACTTCAATGTTGAAAAGCAAGAAAATTGAAGCTTAAAAAAAATGCAGTAATCCTGTTCATATAATTTAGGAGAACAATTAGCAGTCAGGTGCTGCTAACAGAATACACTCTAGTAAATGTAATAAAGTATAAAAGCAGGAATTTTAGAGGTCAGTTTTACTAAGTTCTACTGCGTGGAACCACAGAATTAATGTCTCTTTTTCTTGTAATCACTATAAGTAATAATGGCCATTCCTATTACCAAGAATGAGATATAAACATTGGAGAAAGTCTGTTACAAACTAATACTGCGACATCATTGACATTGTGTGTTTTTTTTTTTTTTTTAAAGTAAATCTCACAATTAAAGTTGCGGAGAAAGACACAGATACCTTCATGTTAAGCTTGCTCAACACTTTGGCCCTGGAGAAGATACCGAATGGGATCTTGTTGATACGGTTGTGCTCCATGTTCAGGGTGTAGATGGTGGAGAACTGGGAGGGTCCGCCCACAGGGTACGACTGGAAGCAGTTCCTCGCAAGTGTGAGACTCGTCAAATTTAGCAAACTCGACAGCAGGCCCTGCCATACAAGAACAAAGAAAAATTAGATGACGCAGCAGTAAAACTCAACAAAGTGATGAAGACACATAAGCAGCAGAGTACCTAAGGCTTTAATATATATCCATACATAGACATTTTCTTAGCACATTTGGAGCGACACTTTCATATTCATTGTAGGGGTACAAACCTCTACCTGTCTTACCTCTGGCAATACTGAAATGTTGTTGTTTTCGAGGTTAAGCTCCTCCAGCTCTCGACATTTGGCTAACGACTTAGGGATTGCTGATAATCGGTTATATCGCAGTCCTAAACGATTTATGCTTGCCAAATTGCCTGAAAAATCCAACAAATGCTTTATTAAGATTTGTACTTGTTAAAAAAAAAAAAAAAACAGTACATAGAATAAATTATATCTTGCATTGAATAAAGGCCTAAAATGTACCCAAGTGCCACAATTAATTACCTATAGTCTCTGGGAGGTCCAAGAGCTCGTTGTGCTGCAGGTCAAGGTTGGTTATTTGTGTGCAATTTCCAATCTCCTTTGGTAGATGTTCCAACTGATTATGGGCAACATCCAGAGTAATGAGGTTGCAGAGCTCCCCTGCAGAAAAATCCACAAGCATTTCAGACTGGGAGGTCGAATCAGACACTGCCAACAATACGACGACAAAAATCGCAATTACACAACAGAGTGTTAGGGATGATGTTAATTACAAGAAGACATAATGTTACGAGAATAAATTTGCACAACAGTAAATCTAAATGTTGTGACAATATAGTCATAATAATACAAGAATAAGGTCATAATATTACAAGGATTCCAAGTCATAATAATATGACAAAATGTCGTATGACAAAAAGTCATAATGTTTTGAGAAAAAAGTCGCAATAATACGAGAAAAAAAGAATCATGTGACAATAAAGTTGAAATAATGAGATTAAAAAGTTGTAATATTAGTAGAAGGAAGTAGTCATTTCATAACTCCTGCAGGAAAAATAATTCTTAAAAAATTAAAACGAGTAATGTTGAGCATCTTGTGAAGTTATACTTTGACATTGGTTTTATAAACAGAGCATTATTAATCTTTTAACACATCAGCAGCAAATGACAATCAGTAGCAGGACTTTGAAACGATTGTGCAAACTAGGAATTGTAGAATAGATGACTTTGTTGACAATTCTATTGAAGCTTTGCTCTCTTTAAGAACCTTTTTCTCATAATTGTACGACTTTCTTCCGGTAATATTGCGTCTTTGTTGCTAATATAATGACTACTTGTCGTAAAATTGAGTTTATTCTGTATTATTATGACTTAGGCTGGCCCTAATACACCATCATACAATTATGTTATCCAGATGCACAGGATAAAATCAACAACAAAAAACACTGCTGAATAATATAGCCAGTAAAATTCATGATAAAAACATTTTCATTTCATAATTCAATACTTTACTTCACTCAAATTGAGATTGTTGATCCTTTAAAAAAAAAATGAAGTCAAAATCTATGGCACACATTTCTACATAGTTTAAAGAGTCTGAAATCCAGAGGTTTTTTTCCCCCCCTGTCCTTTCCCATCGGTCACACCTACCTATTTCTGCTGGTAGCTGTTTAATCTTGTTCTCCCGGATGCTCAGCATGGTGAGCTTGGACAGGTTGCGGATGTCCTTCTCCACCGTGGTGATGCGGTTGAAGCGCAGGTACAGCGTGGTCAGAGACGTCAGCCGGTAGACGACGGGCGGTATCTCTCGGAGTTTGTTGTGCCGGAGGTCGAGCATCCGGAGCATCTTCAGCGAGTCCAGGGAGTCGGGCAGACTGGTCAGGGAGTTCTCGCTGAGGGCTAGAGTGACCAGCTCCGACAGACAGCCCAGCTCCGCCGGTAGGCTCTGCAGCTTGTTGCTGTATAAATAGAGTTCTGTCAACTGAGTCAACTCCTTAATAGCGGTGGGCAGCATGTGAATGGACCGCTTGGACAGGTCCAGCCTCGTAGAGTTCTCCTCCCGACATTTATTGAGCTCCTTGATGACCTCCGCATTGCTGGATTTCTTGCGTGTACCTGGTGCTGGGTTTGGCCGCTTTATCGTATTGTCAACGGAGAAGGCAACACCCGGCGTCGAGCTGCTCGTGTCCTTCTTTCCTTCTTTGGCATCTTTCCCTTTGGTCTTTGTTTCTTTGCCACCATCTTTGACTAAGCTGGATAAAGTCTTGGCCTCTTTTTCCCTTTCTTTACCCACCGGACCGCTTTTGGGGTCCTTTTCTTTTGAATCTTTGTCTTTGCCTAAAGTACTACTCATGTTGACGCTATCAGCACCCCAGCAGAGATGTGCATGGGACTCTCTCTCTTGCTAGGTTACTTATTAAGAAACAAAGGAACGCACACAGTCAAGGTAGCTCTCGAAATAAACATCCCCAGGCAGCCCGACACATTTATAATTACCCTCGGAATAACGGCCTCCAGACCCAAAGTTTTATTTTATTTTATTTTTTTCTGTCTTTTAGATGCTCCTTTGCTAAAGTGGAATGGGAGAAATTATCCTGCAAAGCAAGTGACCTGCGGCATCCACGGGACACATGCTTGAGTCTTTAAACCACACACAATCCCAGGTTCCTTAGTTTGAAGTTGCTTCAGGTTGCAGGACGCACCGACGATTGCTTAATCCCTCCGAAAAACACTGTTGGAGAAAAACATACACTGTGTTACTGCAATGCTGTTTTATAAACATCACTAACGTGTCAATTTCAACACAAATGTCTCTGTCTGATTGCTTATCCCTAACCTTTCTGGTAGATTTTACAGAAGCAAACCACTGCCTAAAATATGACCAGCTTCAACTGAACCCACAGCTGATATTATTTACCAGCTAAATATTCATCAAAAGATCTGCTGCTGACAACAATCAGCCCTACTTTGGGTTGTCTTATAAAAAACACTCACTGCACTAACAACACCCTTCAGTATGGCTGCCGTTACTGAGTGAAGTAAAAAAATAAAATAAAATTACAAAAATAATGTCATAATATTGGGGGAAAAAAACTTTTAATGAGAATAAAGCCATATGACAATACGTTAAAATAATACGAGTCATCATAAAATGAAAATAAACTCATAAAATTAAGAGAATAAAGTTGTAATAGTATGCGAAAAAGTCAGAACGTTAAAACAAAGTCATACGACAGCAAGTCAAAATAATACTAGAATAGTCATAATAATACGACAATAAATTCATATTACGATACATAATACAAGAAAAAGTCATTATCAGACTAAAGTCATAATATTACCAGAATAATAAAGTAATTTTATGACAACTCTTACACACAAAAAAAATTTTATACACTCAAATGAGCAATATTGAGCATCTTGTAAAGTTATACTTTGGTGCTGGTTTTAAATAGAACAAACTTAATATTTGAACACATCAGTAACAAATTATTATCAGTAGCAGGACTTTGAAACAATTGCACAAACCACTGTGTCCATTAGGAAGAAAGAATGACAAACTAGACGACCCAATCATTAAAAATACCTTTTTCTAGTACAACTTTCTTCTGGTAAGATTGTGTCTTTATTCGGTTAATATTATGAGTCCAGTCCAAATACTCCTAGTACTGGCCCGTTAAAGGTGTCTTTGTGGTCTCGTTTAAACGTGGAACTTTTCCACAATCAACATCTGAAAATGCCAGCAGTTTCCAGCAGTCTTGTGTAAATGTATCCTGAAACTGCCCAATACATTTGGTAAACCTTTTGAAATGTAAGTGGTGAGGGTTGGTCAGCGAGATTCCAGCTCCCTTAGAAAATTAGACGGGTGGAAAATGTCAGAAAATAAACTGTGGTAGTATGGGGTGCAAAATGATGTCACAAAACGAAAAGCAACAACACAAGCAGCTAAAACTGAAGATGATCACCAAACAGAAACAATCTCTTCAATTTTGTAGTCAACAGGATTTCTGTCTGTTTTATCTGCTGTTAGTAGCAAGGGTTTCCATGTGAGGAAGCAATTACGCTTTACTCCCTTTTAAATCCACAATACAATTAATTTTGTCATATATTCAACAAAATCCTGATAATACATCACCCACAATATAAAACTTCACTGAAAATGAATCTCCAGATCACTTAAGTTACATTAAATAGAACAAAAAAAAATTATTTTGGTTTTGTTTTAAATATGCAGATAAAAGACAAATTAAGACCTCTTTGGTTCTGGCCAAGAAAAACCAGCTTATTTCCAATCAACCAAACAATTTTACCAGGATTCTCTCTAAAGTGAGACAGAACGCATCCTTTTAGACATCTACATTACAAAAAAACAACAACAACAAAAAAAAAACAGTTTCTCTCTTTTGCTCTGTCTCCGTTTAGTCTCTCCTTTAGTCTGCTGCACCTTGATGGCTGAGTAAAGCTCTCCAGCACCAGAACCACCTAAGCTGTTGCAAAAAAATAAATAAATAAATAAACAAGAGAGAGAAACAGGTTTGGCCCATGATCTGAGCTAAGAGAAAAGGTTGAGACTGCTGAGAGTAATCTTTAGAAGAGGCCTTCAAAGCACAAAGTCCACACCACACTAGGTCATATGACCTTTTGGGTGAAAGAAATATCCTGTCGATAGATGTACCCCTTACATGGCAATACACAACACAGTGTATCCTGCAAAAACAATACATTAAAAAAAGGTCCATTGCTTTTGTTTTTTTCTTGTCATAAATAAACTCGGTGAACTCGAGAGTTGGCTGTTGGAAACATACCTGCGTGCGAAGTTATTAGTAACTTTAAGTGAGAATAACCAGGCCAGACCAAACGCTGCAACCATATAAACTTAGCTGTGCAAGCCACTTCCTTTTATGGTTGGAGTCTTGGTCTGTCTGTCCTTTTTCTTTAAACTTGTGGACTACTGTTTTGTCCAAGTAGCTAGTAAATGTCCTAAAAAGAAGATGGTACGTTAAAGCCAAAGGGCACAGCAGGAACGTCTCAATAATGTCTGGTACAGATATATATATTCAACAGCAAAATGTTAACGGGTGGAAACTTTTTTTTTTATCAATACAGCACAAATTCTTTTAATTGAATATGGAAAAAATAACAACAAAATCTAGAAACCAATCTAAAATAAACATACAGGGATATTTTATGATTACTGAAATGGGGTTCTGTTAAAAGGCTATAATTTTCTATGAATCCAAATTCATTTGACCTGAAACCAAACATTAGTCCCCACAGACGCCATGACCAGAGCGGACTCCTTTAGTCAGCCACAGTGGCCACAGTAATCCCAAAAATGCCAGTTTGGTAAAAAGCTGTTTCAGGTCATCACATTTGTGTCGGGCAAGTGAGGCATCAGTCTGCGCAGCAATAATGATCTTCCTGTGTCAAACGAGGAGAATGGAACAAGTAGAAGCATTTCTGGCCAGAGAAACAGTATGATGGCAGTTTCAGTAAATGCTATTGGATTTTGTTTTTTCCATAAGGCATTTACTCTGACCCGAAACACTCTACATGTTCTGCTCAGTGTTTGTTTCAGGTAGGACTCGCACGATTGATCAAATTAATCGTGATTAGTTGATTACTGAAAAGATTAATTGAATTAATTGTGATTAATTGGTCACTGAAATAATTGTCAGCTAATTTAGTAATTGAATAGTCGTTAACTGGAGTGCAAAGATACAAAAAGTGGCCATTTGCTAAAAGAACAACACAGTCCGGGCAGTAATCAAGCCAAACTTCTTCAATATACATTTTGCGTTTATTATGAAAACCCCATCCTTGTCTGTAAATCTGTTCAACTCAGAACTCCTCAAGTAGCATTTTTAGCTTCACTTGGTTCAAGTTCTATAAAGAACTAAACTATTAAACACCTTTTGCTAGCAATCTATTAATCCAAAAACTAATCGGCAGATCACCGATTAGACAGTATTTTCTAGCTGCAAATGCATCCTGTGCTACAAATTATCAAGTGTGCACTAAAGGAATGCTGTTCCTGCATTTTAGGTAATAAAATATTTTCTTGTTCAAATTAATTGAATTATTTGCTTATTCGCATCTTTAAAAATATTTCTAAATCAAATATTAATTGAGATTAAATGAAAAATTAGCAGAAGGTGCCAATTTTTGTATCCGATCGTCACAGTAAATGATAAAATATTTCATTAAAAATAATCATTAGCTACAGCCCCAGTTTCATATAGAAAGATTACCTCCATTTCCTCTGTCTGTTTTCTGTGTTAGGAACTATCCAACACAATCACAACATTGTAAAGGTTCTTTAAAAGAAGCATTTTGGAAATGTTACCATCTAAAGAACTACAAGAATTTTTTTAAGATGGCTAAAGTCAATGTTGGGATGGCAACTCTCAAACTTGCCATAAGTTCCAACAGCTATCCTCTTATGTTGGACCTTTAATAACAGATTTTGGATGTTTGAAAAGCTACCAAACTTGTTCAAGGGAGTACTTTTCCACAACAGGTCAAGAAAATCTTTTAAGTGTACTGAGGATAACCTCACATCAGCTTACTGCTGCTAAGCAAACATGGCCCAAATAGTGTTGACATTGCTTTAGCACCACCCCTAAGCATGAGTTTAGCGATTTAGCCATCAAATCTGAACAACAACATGACCCATGAAGAGGGCAAGGGATAATAACACCAAAAAATAAAAAATAAAATTAAAAATGAATGTACAACTTTGCTATGCTGAGTAGAAATGAGTTGCACAAAGTATTACAGAGACGTACAGATCAGACTTCTGCCTGGCCAATACCAATTTCTGATTTCCTATGATAATTTTCAGCAGATTCTGTGACAATGGTAGATTTGAATTACATTTAAAAAAAATTAAGAAATTACAGGATTCTACTAAAAAATGTTTCAAAGCAAATGTCCTTAAATATTTTTAAATTAACTTGCTAGTTGACAGGAGGATGGTGAAATCCCCTAGTTTATATCAAGTAGGATAATGGACTCAATTTTTTTTGTTAGCATATGACCCTCCGTTAACCAATCAGAACTGATCTGTAGCTAATTGATTGATCAATTATGTTCCCTTTAATCACAAAAGGGAAAAAACAGAATAGTATGGGTGGATCAGTAGGTATGTAAGAATAAAGTGGGGTTTTTTTGGCCAGAGATATTGAATGACGCCTTATGAACATTTAAATAATCCAGCAGTGACAAGACTTGCAGGCACTTATTTCTCATTATATGTAGGGAAAACCACTTAGTCGATGTAGATATCAGGCTTGGAGTCAAACACAGCTTTTCAAAGAAAAAAGGCTAATGTGCATCCATCAACACTACCGTAGAACCACCATAAAGGGCTACTTTGACTTCCCCACACACACTAATGAAGTTTCCATTAAGGATATCTTGGGCCCATCAGCTAATGTCAGTGCATTTAGAGAGAATTCAAACTCTGCTGGTATCCGTTTTACTGTCTTTGTGATCAGACGAGATGCGCACCAAAACAACATAAAAATGAAACAACGTAAACCTGGATTTACGTTAAACATGCCATGCAGACAATCTTGAGTGCGGCTATGTGTTACTGGATCTGGAGGTATGAAACCCCGAAATCCAACAGCACCCGCTGTCCATGAATGTCACAATCATACCAGAAATAATCAGGCCCCAGGAGAAAATAAGGAAAATAGAGGTGATGTGGCATCTGTTTCTATGAGCAACTCTTGGAAAAAGATTACCGACAAATCGGTAGCTACCAGGTCGAGAAGTCAAGTCGCCTTTAGAGATTAAATCATTTACCAAACAGGACAGCGAGGTAAAGATACTACAGTTGGCTGTGGGCTCACGGAAACAAGAGTAATAATTCGCTAAGAGCTATAATAATGCTACACGTTACGCTGTAATTCACCACACTCACTTAGCTGTGTTGTCAAACATACCATCTCATGAACAGACACGGGGAATCAACCATGATACATAGAAAACGACGAAAAAGAAATTAAATAAATGAGAAAAACTGCTATTACCAAAACCACTGACAACAAGGCAGGAAATAACAACAACTGAGCTAAACGTCAACGGCAAAGCAAACGTCAGTCCTGCCAAACCGCTAACCGTTAGCTGGCGTTAGCTAGCGAGCAATTTAGCCCAACCCGCCAGCTGGATTTCAACGACAACCTTCCTACACAGACGAACAGTAGAATCACACTCAGTGACAATATTACTCAAAAATACACATATATTCAAGTTACAACGAGTCTGAAACGTTAACCCTACACACTAAGTGGTTAGCCTGCTCTCGAGCTAAGCGGTTATTTAGCGTAGGCCCGAGCGGAGCGGCTGTCGGGCGCAGAGCGAGTTCGCCCGAGAGGGGAAATCTCTGCTACCGCCAGCTGTGAGCGCAGACAGCGGACACCCAAGCCGTAGAGCATCCGGTGGTACTAGCAGAGACACCGAATCCTAGCCCTCACCTATATGGCTATATGCGAACTAGCATCAACACTGTATTCGAGCACCGATTCCTTAAAGAAAATAAGTAGGAAGAAAAGAAAAAAAAAGAAAACACTCTGAAAAAACAGCGGCCATTCCGAAGCTGAACAAAAGAGTGCGCTCGTATTCGCCACCAAAAAAAATGACACATTAGCGCTAAACAGAGTTTCGTAAAAGGAAGGCGAGATTAGCACCTAACGAGAGTGGCCAAACTGAGCTGGAGGGATGAAAACGTTTATTGTTATTGTGGTAAAATAAGTGGTTTACCTTCAGAGGTGTGACTCCGCCATCCTAGCTGCTTCCTCCTCTTTTCCTACACTGCTGCTCAGCTCCCCTCCCTCCTCCCCCGATCACAGAACTGCGTCATCCTTACGCCGAACCAATGTTATCACGAGACCTTCAAATGCACCCAAATATTCAGCTTTTTAAAATAAAATACAGTTCTTATAACATTAATCAACATGGTTGTAAGAATGATGAGAATAAAAAGACTTGTGAAAAATTATATTACTGAACATAATGTTGACTTAATGTGTAGCAATAAGGAAAAGTTGCATTAGACTGTGGCAACTAATATGCTTACCACGCACAGGGTTTCCCCCAGAAAACTTGCTAAGCCCGGTGCTTGGGGTGCTAGGGCTGTCATCCAGCCGCCAGTCGAAAAATATTTAAAGTTGACAGGAAATTTGAAAATATAGTTGTGCATTATTGGAAGACTGGAAGATTAATGCCTAAACACCAACTATAAAGTGAAAAAAAAAACAAACAAAAAAAAACAAAGGCAACAATAAAAAAAATAAGATAAATTAACAATGCCAACCCTGGGGGCCCACCAGGCTTATAATACACTAAGGGAAACCCTAATGCAATATCTAAGAAATCTGAATCACTGTATCCAAATGAACATGTTTTCACGATCATGAGTGAAGTTGTATTTTATAAGATTTAATTTATTATTGAAAAACCTCAGTGCTCTTGGTGAAATTAAAATATGACTGAATATTTAAGAAAACAAAATTGAGGGGGTTTTTTTTCTTCAGGAAAATATATTTAGCGCATAATTTTTGGTGAACTATCAGTGTGTGGAATTATTGCACACCTACATTTTACCATCTCACGTGCTTGTTGTGATCTCTCAAAGTGAGAATAACAAATGAACACCATAAAATTGATGCATAAACATTTCTGACAAGGAAAGTGACCTATAGAGGCATCCTTTTTTCCAATAAGCACTCTTAAGCCTCCCAGACAGTGTCTAAGGAGATTCCTTTCTTAAATCTGTTTAAGAAGGAACCAAAAGTCCTTATAGGGGATAGGTCATTGTTTCATCTTTCACACCACTAGTTAGCCATGCACTGTAATACTTCATATATGTAGTGGAGCATTGCCTTGTATATTAAAAGATACCGACATCACATTTTCATCAACAAGCATGTCTGCTCCACAGGACAATTGTTTCCTGGTAGTCTTATGTTTGACTTCTCCAAGTTAACTTACATCTTTCAACACATTTCCAGCAATTCTGTTGATTTATTTATTTTTCTTTTTTGCAGCAAAGCATTTGCTGCTTCTGTGACATTTGCCATCCCTCTTAAAGATATATATATATATATATATATATATATATATATATATATATATATATATAAAATACATACATACAACTTTTTACTTTTCAAGCATTCAAATTTATTTATTTTTGTAATTAAACTTTGAAAACTAACCAGGTAAAAAAAAAACAACAACAACAATTCAGACCAAGGATGAAAATAAAGTAGCTGCTCCTACGCATTGAAAAAAATTCAATTGAGGTTGTTCCAAGATCAATCAACATCCCTCCTGGATGCTGGAAATAAATAAATTGGAAATTAATTAGTTAATTAATTGAATAATTATCTTTTTAATTAATTCAAAATAAGATGAATTGTATTTTTAATAATGTAAAGAGTGAAAGATTAACATTTGGTCAGCAGAACATCTAAAGTAGGCCAGTGGTAGAATCAACAGGTTTATTCTATGTTTGAAGTGAATTTATAACACATCAGTGCATGTTATTGGTTATTTTAATGCACATCCTAAAAGACAAAACCGACAAGATATAAAATATTGGAGATAATAGGCCAGTTGTCATTATCTAAGATTGAACAGATTATTCTGAACAGATTTCAAGAGAATTTAACAACAACAACCTTTTATGCTATGTTTTAAAACTAGGTGCAGGACTAATCTATAAATGTGTGTATTAAAGAAAATTGTTTGAATTAAAAAAAACAAAAACTGATCAATGGAAATTTTATGTAGACTTCCCATGTGGAAGTCTACATTCCACATGCTCTTACCCATTTCTTTTTTTGGTTGATCTTTCTTTGACTTGACACAGAGTGAGTGATTGTCTTGTTAACTGTATAAGCTGATGACGTGGCGATCCTCTCCTAATGCTAGTTACGCTGCCCAGTACGGCATTCTGTTTAAACCTAAAAACAGGGCTGTTACGATTCCCATAACTTTAGGGAGATCAAACGATAAACTTTATTATCTCTTCACATAGCACATCAAGCGTTAAACCTTTTTAAAACAGTGAAATACATGAGCCATATCATAACAAATGATTTATCTGACAATGATGATGTTTGCAGTAGTAACAGCGTACCAAGTTGGACATTGTAGATTTTTATTAAATGTTTGCCATTAATATTTTTTGTAGTATTTTGGCCCTGTTTTTGTGATTTAGCTCAATGTGTCTGCAGTGAACGTAAATGTAAATAATTTTACCAGCTGGTGGTGTCCATCTTCAAAATCAACATGTTGTTTTCACACAGAATTATCACCAGAGAAAGTGAGAAAAATCCAACTTTGATTCTTTACACAGATGGATACTAATACAGCAGGATCAGAGTCCTGCTGCGGGTTTCTGCAAACACAACTAAAGCGGTGATCACTAACTGCAAGAGGATCCTTAGTATCACTAATAGAAGCTGCAATGATTAACCTACAGAATCTGTGTTATGGACTGAATGCTTCTTGCAGAATCTTGCTCTTACAAACAGGCAAGCAAAGCACTGAGGCTTATCAGTGAAAACCAGTTTCTGAGGGATGTTGCAACATCGGCCTCTATGCGTTAAACCGAAGATAACACGCCCTTGCTCACCCTTAGACACAATACATTGAGATTAAAAGCTTGCAGAACAAGCAGGACAAAGGCGTGTTCTATTATTACTAGAAGCAGCAGTAGAAACATTATTAGCGTTAGTTTTATTAGAGAACAAAATGTAAAGAGGATTATATTTATTTGCATTTACTGGACCGTTTTTTCGTTACATAATCTGTCTAACAAAGTACAACTGTGCCGTTTTAACCTTTCAGTTTAGCTTCAATTCTCCGAGCCGCCTGTAGGTGCTGCTAAAGCGCCGTGTTAATGAAGTCAACGCAGAAGAACGTCACGTGATTCTGCGGACGCGTTGGCCTGGCAACTGCAGCAAACCTTTATCTGGTGCTTAAAGGTAAGAATGAGGAAAAAAAATACAATAACGTATTTAAACATGCGCTGATAATGTTTTCTAAGCTCGATTAGACAGTCAGCTAAACCTCGCAAGGAGCTTCTTTAAAGATAAAATGTCCCTTAACGTATCCAGGCCCAAGTAAATGCACTGTCGCTAACATGCTACATGGGATTAGCGTTGTGCTAATTCTCAATAATTCACGTCTGTGGTTAAACGTGATAGGTTCGAGAAATGTTCGAACTGTTTTTCTTCTCAAATGTGCCATTGAAATATTTATATGTACATAAAAATGTTTAAGAAAAGTAAACGTGGAAGGGTTTATATGCTTACACACGTCAGCTTTTATCACTACAGCTATATATAAATGTGACGTGTATGTGAATTAGTGATGAATTGATCATTTTGAGTCCGCTAGATAACAGACATGTTTTAAATATAAAAAAATAAATAATTTTTTCTTACCTTTCAGCACGCGCCCACAAGACACAGCGATGCCCGAGGTCAAGTCAATATTGAGAGAAGTTCTGCCTAAGCAAGGTTTGCATCGCAGCCGCTTGCTATCTGAACAGCACTAGTTACAAAAGCTTGTTTGTGGATTCTCCGTATGACTTGTGGACTGTTGAGACATCTGCAAACCTTTGCAAACTAGTCAAAAGATTCCTCTGTACTCCCTTCTTATCAGTATCTGCGCTCAGTTATGGTATTTGGACTAGAAATAGAAATATTTGCAAAATTATTCGTACCCTCTTTACTCCCTCATGATTTGCCAAGTTATGATAAACCTCATTGGGTTTTATTGGGATTTTCTGTGATCCAGGAAGACAATGACTGTCTATAGCTATGAGGCTAAAGGAAAATACAAGCTTTTCTAAATTGTTTGCAAATAACAATGTGAAAAAGCTAATCTTTTTCTTCTTTTACCAAAAATTTCACAAAAAAAAAAAAGGTGGGGGTTTGTTTCCACTGAAAGTTAAACCTCTACCGCAGTCACAAATATTTTGCAGCCTCTTACAGGCTAACCTGTGTTAATTCCATCCATCTTCCCATGAAGATTAAATTGTTTTGTTCTCAGACTAGTCAAGTGTATAGTGTGTGAGACATTTCATAACATAGATTCTGTTATATTTTACTTTATATTTTCCCTGCTGTAGAATGTTGATACCATCATAAGTGACCATCAATAACAGTAATAAATGACATGTAATAGTGAATTGAATTGCGTTGATCGATCACATAAAATCACAATAAAATAGCATGAAAATGTTTGGACATTCTGGGTTGCCGTGTCTATAATGAACACAATAAGTGAGGAACTTCTATGACTTTTCAGAATAAAGCATAGAGCAAACATGTGAAATGGATGTTTAGCAACTAAATAATAAATCCAGGTTATTTTTCAGGGGCTTTTTTTTTTTTTGCTGCATCTACAGGACAGCTCTACATGGAAGATGTCCCAACCATGGTCCTGTGTAAGCCAAAGCTGCTCCCACTCAAATCAGTCACCCTGGAGAAACTGGAGAAGATGCAGATGGAGGCTCAAGAGGCCGTCAAGCAGCAGGAACTGGCAATGAAGGAGCAAGGACAGCAGATGCCCAGTTGAGGACTTGAAACCACACACACACACAAAAAAAAACAAAAAAACACAACTTTGATAAAGAGCACAAGTCCAATGATTCAAACATTGGCGAGAAAGTATTTTTGTAATCAGTGGTACAAACTTAAGTTATACTTTTTTTTTGGTAAGTGAGCAGACGCTTTAAGAAAGCTGCAGACTCATAAGTTTGTTGGTAACGGCAGCTTATCTGAGGAATTGTGCAACATGTAGTGATTATTTTAATAGTGACAATAATAGGAAAAAAAAACAAATATTTCATAATTATTTAATCAATAAAAGAAATTTTGCCATAAGTTGCTGCCCAAGTACAAAAATAAACCATTATGATAAGTTATCTGATGGATGTTTTTTGTTTTGATGTGTTCTAGCACAGTGTAGAAGTGAAGCACAGCATGCAAAGACAGCAGCCAGTTTTACACCCGTTATGACATTAAACTAACACCCTCCCTTTATTTATTTATTTTTTCTTTATTTCTTCCACAGATTCATAAAGCTCTTATCACAAATTAGTTATCTTGGTACAAACACTGCTTTTGGAAAACAAAAGGAGTAGCAGTAAAACAGAAAAGAAAAAAATAAACTGTACAAAACAACATGGAATGACTGACACTGAGAGGTGTGGCACTTTAAGGGATAGCTTATGTAAATGTTTGTATAGAAACACTTTGAAGTAAAGTGGTCTACTTCAGTTTAAATCAAAAGTGCAGCTTTTCTTTTTTTTTTTCTTTTTTTTTTACCCAGAATTATACCGTTGGAAGGGAGAACATTTTACTTCACATTTAAAAAAAAAAAAAAAAAAAATGCAAGTAAAAAGGTAAGTTTTTTTTTTCTTCCACTTCTTTTCAGGTATTCTGGCTCAGTAACAGGCCTAATCAGTACCGTTCAAATTTCACAACTCCGCTGTCTCCCTCGCTGACGAACCTCTTTCGGTTCCTGACAAACAGATCACAGAGAGCGACGATGAGCACAGCAGGAACAAAAAAAAAAAACACTGTCGGATCTCTGCAGACATTTGTGTGAAATTAAAAAGCACTCACCGGTGCGGACACTGATCTCTTAATTTGACACCAATGACTCCCATGTGAAAGCTCTTCTCCACAAATTGCTCCAGGATAAAATACGCAAGAGGAACATCGATGTTTATCTCATCAATGTCCATGTAAACTCGTTCATAGCCCTGGAAGAGAAAAGAAATTTAAAAAAATCATCTTCAGGATTGAGTGAGTTTCACTTGCAGTGCCCGATTCAAACAGCAGGTGGCTCCCTACCCTTCGCATTTGGTCCTCAGTGATGATGGAAGACAGAGAGAGTGACTTGAGTAGCTGCAGCACCATTTTGAATGTTTTCTCCCCTCGGGACTCCAATACCATCACGATGGCCTGCCGAAAGCGCCACAGGTTTTCAGAAAAACGCAACTGAAAATACGCAGCAGCTGCTACAGCAGGGAGACGGACGAGGAGCCGCGCGTACCTCGTAGACAAACTCGTGGTGGAAATGCGGGACCTCCAGGTCTCGAAGGCATCTCTCTGCCTCTTTGCCGTCTCCAGACAGGATGTACTCCTTCAGCAGCAGGTTCATCTGAAAATGGAAGATCCAGAATGAAATTTATTCAGCTTTAGCTAAATATGATTTATGTTTTGGTTGCATAAAAGCCTGTAATTGTGATACTGTATTTCAATAAATGTCAAATGTTTCCAAGGGCAATCTTCACTTTACTGGAAAGTGAAGACTACACTTCTCTGTCTAGTGAAGTGCAATCACTAGATTGTACTCTACCTCTTTGATGAGTTGTATGACGGGTCGCTGGCCTCCGCCCGTCCCCCAGTGGTTGTCGATGCGAAGGCCGCCCATACTCATCTTCAGCAGCACGGCTGCTCGATCTAGCGCCGCTCTGCAGATTCGATAAAGCAAGTCGATTTGTGTGGTTTGCAGGAATTTCCATAATTCAGGTCAATCGAGTCTCTTCAAATGTTTCTACTAATATTTTATTAACTGGAACTCAGTTCGGATACTTTTGGAAGTGGCTACGCTTGGATCCCGAGCCATGTCCCGATTCTTGGAAAAGACCAGTTTCACACTGCCAGCCTAACTTTTTAAACTCAGAAGTGACAATCTTTGGACGTGAGGGTGTATTAACTGATACTTCAAACTGACAGGATAAAAACACTTGAAAGTTTCTGAACTAAATATTTATTCATATCCATGTTTAGGCTCATAAAAACATATCCACCAATCCATCAAACTGTCTCAGTCGCAAAACTGTACATTTTTACACATCTATACTGCAGTTTGCTCAGCTATTTGCTCAACAATCGTTTTTGATGCACTTAATCTTACTTAACAATTTAAATAACCCATTACGAGTGTCAATTTTTAGCTAGTCCAACTGAAAATCTGCTAAGTTAAGTTGCATTTCCAGCATGGAGTAGTAAACAGACAATAGAAAACAAGTACAAGTGCTTCCATAAACGTTGCGTACCTTGCATGTTCACAGTCAACTTTGCCTTTGTAGCCGTCGATGTAGCTTTTGGACAGTATCTGGTCGCTAACAGCCCGAGCGATGAACTGGCCGACCAACTGAAAGGAGAACATAAATGAGGAGAATGTAAATTTTAACATCGTTAAACAGCGCTAGATTTGTGCAATAAAAATTGCAACATTTCTTTCTTGAAACGTTTTTTCTCTCCAGTATATTACAGAATTTGTGCAGGTTTCACTGACTCAAATTTAAGACCTACACGTCCACAGAAATGCGCAAACTTCATCCACAAAAACGGCAATAAATTTGCACTGACGGATGCAAAAAAATAAAAATAAAAATTGCGTCTTTGTTTACAGCAGCGTGGGCCGCACGGTTTTGGGAAAGGAAAGAGCCGGCTCTGCTGTTTTGGCCTCCACAAAGCATGCGCTCATCGTTTCTCTGACAGGAAAATTAGCATAATTTTCCTGTCCCTTCTGAAGTTGCCATTGTAGGCAGCTACATTACAACGCGGCGCAGTGGCCAGACCGAGGCGCGTGCAAAACTGAGAGAACCCTCGAGTGAAAGTGCGGTGTATGCAGAGGTGTGGGGGAAGGGCAGAGTCATAAAGCCCCACCGAACCCACCCAGGGGCAAGAGACGGAGAGAGAGAGAGCAGATGACTGGTCAGATAAATCAGACCGTGTAAGGAGGGGAGTGGGCCATGTTTTTTTTTGTTTTGTTTTTTTTTTGCTGAGTTTGCATTTTACAAGAAACGATAGACAATGGCAAAGGATTTCATGTGTGCGCAGACTGAAAAGGAAAGAGCTCACAGACGCACAGTGGCTCTTCTCTCGCAAGCCAACAGATAAAAACCGCAGCGTTATTCCCCTCTGCCAAACCACCAGCAGAGGTAAAACTCCTCCTTCAGAAACGAAACCAGCAACCTTGAAAAGAGCGTATTGTGTAACATGGGATGGACATAAAGTAGTAATAGTCACCAAACAATTATTAACCCAACATGGCTTGCTGCAAACTGTGAACTCAATTTGTACGGCTGTCTTTTGTGCACCGCCACATATGAGTCGGTTGCTTCAGAGGGCTGCTTACGCCTGTCGCAATTAATCGATTAATTGAATGATAAATTAAAAATTCAATTCAGATGAATAATATTCTCTGAAAGGCAATTTTTTCCACAGAGATGTCAGAATCCATTTTATTTGTGGTTTCGGTTTGTGTGTGGCGTTCACCGTTTTAGTTGCATTTTGTTTTGGATATTTAAAACATCTTCCAGTTCCAGTGTGACGTGTTCTGTACATAATTAAATGCGTTTTGGTCTCTGAGGAAGCAAACTTCCATTATTATGAAATTGTCAATATATTACTTAAAATTGTTTATATTTCTGGGACAAAGTATCGTCCAGCAAAATGTGTCATCATGGCTGTGGATGATCTCTATTAACTAAACCCTGCTTGAAACTTCACTAAAAACACACACACACACACACACATTTTCAAAAAGCAAACAACGTCAACCCTAGCCAACACACGCTTCAGGTCGGAGGTTTTGGAAACTCACTTGAGGCGCTCCAGGTGTGTCCAGGACCAGATCCGGCAGATCTCTGAGCAGCTTGTCGAAAGAGGACTCCATGTCGCTGTGGGAGAGAACGCTTCCGCACAGGTCCACCAGCAGCCTGGAGGTGAGCTCCCGCTGGCTGGCCTTGGCCTCCAGGGCCAGAGACACGGCGAGCGACGGGACCTCGCTGCGCATGGGGCCCAGGTTCAGGTCCGCAAGCAGTTCCTGACACAAACGGGAAAAGAAATTTAGTTTGAGCTACTCTCTCAAGGCAGCAAAAGAAAACACGGTGGAAGGATGCCTTCTATATGTTGGAGCCCTTACCGCTACTTCATTCGTATCTCCGTGTTCAAAGTACTCTTGAACTATGGGGGTGACCGTCTTCTCAAAGTCCCTCTCATCCAGCGGAGGCACCACAGTCTCGTACACACAGTTTTCCTGTTGAAAAAGAAAAGAACAATTATTTTCCATTTTCTTGTGTTAGCAGGACAGATGCCAAATCTACACCACAAACTTCAAAATTTTACCTTTAAACCTGTTAACAACTAAATAACTGGATAATTTTAGCTCGTGTTGCTTGTGAGCAGAACAGCAAAAACAGATAGTATTTTACAAAGTAAACACTTCCAAAACCCTGCCGTTTTGAAGCGTAGATCAAATCCGAGTGAATACGCCGCTAAACGATTGTCCTAAATGCAAATGTAATTACCTGATCTTCGTCAAAGTTGGGGTCTTTCTTGTCCACCTCCACCGGTTCGTAGACTTCACCCGATCTTCCCCACACGCCCTTTCCTCCTGCTCCACCTGCAGGTAAAAGGTCAGAGATAAAGTTACTGCCCTGATATATGCTCATGTTAACTCAACATGGGGGAAATAAATAAAAAAGGTGCGAAACTGCAGCTTTAGTGTCTTGCGCACGGTCGTCAGCGGAAACATGAGCCGAAACATTTTCCGCAGGTTCCACCAGCACAAATTTAAGACTTTAAGACCAGCGACAACAAAATTTAAGACCCTAGCTAGCTAGGGTATATTAGCAGCTAGTTAGCACTAGCCACAACCACACATATTTCCAATCGAGTTCAGTACTGTACATAAAAGACAAAAACAAGCATCATTGCAGTTGCTGCCAACATGGAGGTCAGGCTACATATTTAGTGTAGGCATAAACAAACACACAAAGAACAATTAAAGGGTGAGCCCCCAGCAGATTGCAGACAGTTTAAGAACACCAAAGCAGCTTGAAAACATCCTTTAAACCCCCCATCAGTTCCACCCACTTTGTGGGTAGAGCACTATATTTAGCTCATCCCACATTAGTTGAGAATCCGTCCCACTTCTGTGTTAAAACGGCTTGCTTTCTCGTCTGTTTTACTAAAAAAAAAAAAGAAGGCAAGAAAGCAGCACGCCCACACTAAATGTCTCTCACCTCAACTAAAATGCAATACAGATCAAATGCAGAACAGCCCAGAGCTCAAATTGCACGGCTTCGCTGATGCGAGAGAACTGTTGTGTAACCAAGACAGGACAGACTCGGTGCCAAGAAAAACTGGACATACCCCTTTAGTCTGCGGCCCATGGGAAGAAGGCAAGTGGGCAAACCCAACTGCAGTCTGAAGGAGAGGCTAGATGAGTTGCATCACTAAAGAGAGGCAAAACGTTTTGCTCTGAGCAAGAGGTTGTCTCTCTTTAGCAACTCATTTAGATGTGCTAGGATGACAGTAATTCATGTTTTTATTTATTTTTTGCCAAACATACTCAGGTAGAAATTGTAGACTAATAAATTCTGCAGGTTCCAATCAGAAAAACATAAAGCTGATGCTACACGACACAAAATCATAAGTATTTTTGGTCTAGTTTCTAGCACAAATATCTTAGTAAACTTGAAATAAGACAAAAACTAACAAGTAGCTTTTCAGCAAGATATAAGAGCGCATATCAAGTCAAAAATTCCTTTATACTGATGAAAAAAATCTGCCACGTTACAGATTATAATATGCCTCGTTAGACTGGCACATTATTTCATATATAACTAGCATTGTTTTCATCCATTTTAATGAATTATTGACTTAAAACGAGCTCCTCTGTTGTACTGAAAAGTTACTTGTCAGTTAGTTTTGTCTTATTTCAAGCACACTGAGAAATTTGCACTAGAAACTAGACTAAAAATACTTGGTAAGGTTTTGTGTTTTTTGCAGTGATGCTGGCTGGGTTCTGCATCAGACCTGCAGCGGAAAATTCCAGAAAGGCTCGGATGCACGCGGGACACGAAAGGAGGCTCACTTTAAGGATTTGAGCCGCTCGAGATCAACCGGCTAATTGGTTTATGGATCGGCACTGGAAGGGCTACCGCACGAAGCAGTGAGTCCCTCCGACCCACTGGGAGAGGTGGATTCCTGACGGAGCCGAAAGCACAGACAGAAGAAATATTGAGGAAGCGTCGTCATGTCACCTTTTTTCGGCAGGCCTCTGCCCTTCCCCATGCGGGACTTTCGGTCGAGCAGCTTGCTCTTGGGACTCGTCGGCGCCATGGAGGTTCCCCTCACCACTTCCCCGTTGTCACTGAGGGAGTCCCCCCTGCCCGAGTCCCTGGAGGAGTTTTTCCGCAGCCTCCGCTTGGCCTTTGCCTTCAGGCGAGCCTCGTGGATGTTGTTGCTGGACGAAGACACCCAGTTACCGTTGATCTCGTTAATGGCGTTCTTGTTGGAGACGCCGGATCCCCCATTGTCTTCCTCGGCAGAAATGAAGGAGTCGCTGAGGTCCCCGGCCTCTGTTAAGACACAGAAGAACGAGTCGGTGTGCGTTTGTTACCATCAGTCGGTGCTTTCATGCCGCACAAAGACAGTTTTCCATTTGCCTTTTTAGATTTCTACCTGAAAACATGTCCGGAATAATATTTGATGTTGACGTTTTGACCCAACAAAACTAGAAGGTGAAAGATTATTTCGTTCCAAATCAAAAGTACTTAATGTTTTAATCTATATACCGGAAATCAACATATTGGACAAATGAGCACAAACTCAAGTTGCTACTATTTGTGATATAATCAGTTATAATAATAAATAAATTTTCTGAAATTGACACAGTAAAACACAGATTAATAATTATATTGAAAACCGAACAAGTTTGATTTTTAAAATTCTATAAATGGTGTATTTGCAGAATATTCTCCCACTGTTTTTAAATGGTGAAAAATGTCAGTTTCTATAGTAACAAATATGACCTTTTGGCTGACATCTTAACTGTCATCTGCTTCAATCTCTAAAAAAAAAATCTAAGCATTCTTCAAAAATGCTGTTTATTTAACGCTTTATTGCTACATCTAAAAATAACAAATTATGCATTTGTTGATATTTCGGTTGACGGCCGTTTAGAAATGACAGCTTTTTAGACGCCATCTTAATTTTTTTCAATTGCTCTTTCAAATTAAATCGTTTGATCAGACCCGCACTTCATTTGAACATCTCTGAAAATAACTACATCGCATTTAGGTTAAATTAGTTTATTTGCTATGCTCTCAGCTACAAAAATGCGGGTAGAAAAACTGACTCAATTCAGGGTGTAGTGAGAGGAAACACGAAAATCACCCACTTCCACATAGAAAAAAAAAAGTCCCACTACCCTATATCGGTCCCAGCTGATTAAGCGTTTGAAGTTTTCACACTTACCAACAGGGTTTGCGTTCAGCCAAGCCTCGCAGTCAGCTGCCATAGTTTACAGTAGAAAAGAGCCTTTGCAGCGGAACCGTGCAAAAACAAGAATCACCGAAGATAACTGCAAAAAAAGGGAGGAAAAATAACTGAAAAATTACATATTTGGCTGCAGACGTGTAGCGATGGTTTGCCCAGACATGTCGCAACACCACCCCGTCACCCCCCCTCAACCATTTTCATTCAAAGACGTACTGTTGACAAACAATGGCTAACGCGGTTTAAAACGATAATGTTAATATTGTAATCCATTTCCCTGGTGTTTATTTGACGGAAACAGGGCGACTCATTCCATATAACTACAAAATGCAGTACACATCAAGAGTAACCGTTCTCTTGCGTCGTTAACTTATCTTACCTCGATGCCCACACGTTAGTGAAAGATAACATCTAACGGTCAGCAGCTAAATGAACGAAGCCATTAGCTAACAATGTCGAAGTTTTAAATGTACAAATGTGCCCACTCAAATGTCTTACTCAATAACAAGATTGCAAGACACCTACCGTTTCGCACCTTGAAGCTTTAAACTCTGACGCGAACGCTGTTGTTTTTGTTTCGCTTACCCAGCAACGCAGTCACTTAAGGCTTGTGTTTTTCTCATCTGATTGGTCCAGAGGAGGGGGCTGTTTCAGGAGAGCCAATCAGAGCACAACAGAGAATTTCCTTCTAGAAAGTTCCATGTAGATCCATGAGGTCGTGTTGACTGTGAAGTGCTGCCCCCTGTCGTACAGCAGGGTATGTACGTTGTATCTTGGATATGGATGTCACCGTTTAATACAGATACTAAATCCATATTTTTGCATAGAAAATAGTGATATAAATAGCTATGCTACTAATAAAACTTTTTTTAAATGCAAAATGGGGTTACAAGCACAAACAACCCGATATCAGGCAATAATAGACAGAACAATACACAAATTATTCACATATGTATTTTTTTGAATAAATATAACATAATTCAAAGCAACCTCTAATCAGTGTAAACCTGCAGACTTAAAGACATTAAGAAAAACAAAAGGCCTTTGTGCAACACACGACACTACACTTACACGTAAATACTTTTCAGCTGGTGTTCAAGCAAGGAAAACAATTTAATATAAAAAAAAATCTTGTAGATTCATAGTTTTACCAAGACGGTGCGAATATTTCAGCCTATGATTATAATACTGTCAGTGTAGGTTGTGTTTATAAATGTCTGAATCATTGATCGCCTTGTCCACATGGATGTAATCCCAGGAGCATTTCTGGAACAATCTGGAAATTTCTAGAAAATTAGAACTAACACACAAGCTCCTGTTGACAAAAATAAAAGTGAGGAAGCTCACATGGACAGGGAGATATTAAGATTTATATTAAATCTGCATTGGATTAACTATTATGCTGTCGTTGCACAACAAAACTAAAAACAAACAGTAAAAGACATGACGGAGCAGAAAAAAGTAGAGCATTATTTTCAATTGGAAGGAAACGAATGCATTTGCTTTCAATTATTCACAAATAAAAGTCTGAACAGTGACATGTATTAAGTATAATTCAGAGACCTTACAACAAAAGCTCTAGTTATACTTAGTTTAAATGACACAGAATTGGACTCGATTTACTCATTCTGAAGGAAACTGGTTGCAACGTTGTTTTTTTAGGGATATCAAATACAAAACCAGAAGCCATGTGATGGGATTTATTAGATTGTTTGCATTTTATAATGGCTGACATAGTTTTAGACATTTGCAATGTTTTCTTTTTGCATCCCAATGTGTGGAAACAGTCACTGTAAACAATACTATTACCGATTTCACAAGATCCGCATCCAGAGAATAACAGATTCTGGCTTGATACTCTTGTTACAGAACATTAACACTAAAAAAAAAAAAAAAAATGCATGGTCAAGTTTAATGCTTGAGCTGCTGCAGACATATGATATGGCACATTAGTCTGGGATTGTCTTAGGAAGCAAATATTTTAGCAAAAATCTATTGAAAAGATAAAACATTTCCATAATTTCATCATTGGAAACTACAGTGATGTGAGTTTACCTGAAAGATTTGCAGTCAGCCATATTCAATTTAAGCCATAGATGTAAATATTTAAATGTTATTTATACAATAAACTGGTTTTGATAAGTATAACAAGCCTGAGACCGTGTTCTACTGTTCTTTTAACTGAGAGAAAAAAAAAACATTTTGCCCCTGAGAGCTCAGGCTGTAACACAAATAAATGGACAAAATGCAAATAATCTTAAGAAACAATTTGATTTGGACAGACGTTGCATGGCACTTATAACAAAGAAACAAAGCCAACACACCAAATATGGACGTTTACTACAAACCTGCTTCTGGCTTAGAGGTCACTCTAAGGACGTCCCGATCCAAACCCGGGTCATCAGCTCCGGGTCATCAGCTCCGTGTCACGGCCGTTTTAACCATCGCGACCAGAAAATATCTGCCAAAAGCCTTACACAACTGTTTTATTTAAATATGCAAATAAATAGATTTAACTTAAAACAGAAAATAGCATATTTCCAGATGAACTTCTTGCAGCAAAACAAAAATCAATAAATATATATATTGTTTTTTTGTTTTTTTTTTCCAGAAAACCTTGCATAAGAACTCTGGGAAGACCGTCATTAAAAGCAGTCCACCGTGTAAACCTCCTTTACAATTCACCTCAAGTATGTACAAAACTGAAGAGTTCAAGACATTTTAGTTTAATTTAAACATAAAAAAACTACCACAACAGTCCAAAAACATAAATTCAAGCTTCTGTTTGTCACATTATCTATGTTGTTTTTTTCCTCCGTCTTCTTTCTGAAGCTCTACACAATCTCCACATGTTCACAGATCTTCCCCCTGCTGTGTTCTGTCTGTTGGAGGTCAAGGGTCAAGCTGGTGTCAGTGCGCCGCGGAGGGTTCACCCAGCGCGCTCGACAGGCCGTTCTCTGCCAGCTGGGACAGGTATTTCTGTGAAAATAAAATCATATGACTAAACTTCAAATTCCAGCATTTGTTCACCACAATAGCATAGCATTTGCACTACATCACACAGCCCTGGATTTTATAGTTTTAAAATCTGACTGATGAAGGTTTGGTTCTGTTAAACCAAACAGGTTCAACAGAACCAACAAGGACATTAACAAGCTTTTGTTAATGTCCTTGTTAACAAAAGCATGTTAATGTTTTTGGTAACAATGTTTATATATATATATATATATATATATATATATAGTTGCCGTTTGAGATATGTACCTGCAGGTTTCTGTAGTGTACAGTGCTGCGGCAGTGAGTGGTTTTTGCAGTGTCCTCGCTGCTGTAGAACAAGCCACACAGTTTGCAGTAGAAACCTGTTCTTGGCTCAATGAACTCCACTCCTGTCAGAGAGAGAGAGAGAGAGAGAGAGACAGAGAGAGAGAGAGAGAGAGCACCAACAGTCCAACACCACCCAGAACCAGAACAACACATGGGTCTCGGCCAGGAAAAGCGGGGAACCTCACAAAGGACTTGCCAAAACTTTTCTTTTTTGTCACTCTCCTTGCGTGATGTTTGTGACAACAACATTTTAAAAAGTATTGTTGTGCAGTCTTCAACAATCAGGTCTAACGTGCTTGTATGATTTATTATTTTAAAAAGTTGTTTCAGCAGAAATAAGTCACCCGTCCATTACTGTTCTGTTAAAGGGATGCTGCTGTCGGTCTCCGTCCCTAAAGGTGGCGTGACTTTGCACTGAACTAGAGTAAAATATTTAATATGATGATCTCTGACAGGCTAAATTTTATAGATCAAATTATTGTTTTCGTGTTTGTTTTCTTGTAATTCTTATCAATTTTTCAGTTTTTACCAAGTCATTCATATTAACTCTCCTTATAAACGTGTGAAAAAGCCTTTAATAATCCTTGTTTTCAAAGAAGTAGCATGATCTCACTTAAATTTGTTATGGACACATTCAATCGGAATCTAATTGCTTGGAGGTGAAAAACATTGCATAGCAGAAAAAACAAATCACCAGTGCCATAACTATTGACACCCCCTGAAGATTTCTGTAAAATAAGTGTAGCTTAAATTTTTTTTCCATTTCCCATGTCACCTACCAAGTTACTTTAAGTGTTTTATTGAACTCTTAATTAGTCATTTGTGACATTTTGTTCTCCTGGGATGTAAAAGTGACGTTACACATACAACCTTTTTAATCAGCTGCTCTTCAAAATGGAAAAGACAAGAGAACATGCCACTTATGTAAGGGAGATTCTTCGAGAAAAAAAAAAAAACGTCCCATCTTTGTAGTCAGATAAGTGTTCAAAAGTTTAAAACAGCTGGAAATGTGACAAATAAAGTGACATTTTGTGAAGATCGAGTCAGATTCTCAAACACCTGAGAAGAGTTTTGGGTGGGAGACATTAAGCATCTATAATCCAGCCTCTGAAATATGAAACAGGACTGATTTAGCTGCTGCTGAGGCTGCGTCATAGAACTGGCCACGTGGCAACAGTTTGCAATGTTTTATGATGTTAATAAAGTTTTAGTGACTATGTTGAAGTGTAATGTGCTTACCGAGAGGAATGCTGTGTTCACTGACAGCTTTGTCCTGCTCTAGAGATGACGAGGGGGCTTCGATCTCTGTCAAAGACATTTCAGCAATAAGAAAGTCGTTAAATTTACTTATTCATAGTGTTTTGTTCCCTTTGGATTTTTTTTCCCTCTCAAAAGAAACAAAATAGTAAATGGTACAAATTTGTTTTCTGGTTTTACATACACTTATTATTGATGTAAACGTCAGTAAGTTTTGTTATTTGAACAGTTCATTTTTCAGTAGTTCAATTATATTTGGGGGGGAAGAACTGGGCACATAGGGTGATTTTTTTTTAAATATTTATTTTGTTAGGATTTTCTCTAAACCACAGTGGTTCATAGTACAGAAACAGTCTCTAATGTAAAGACTCCTGATTAAAATCTGAGTCAATGGAGAAAATGTGGAATCCTCAATCAGAAACGAGATGCAAGTTGAGCTTCAAAATGTGGAGGCAAATTATTAAAAAATACATTTGAATATAAACAAGCTGTTAATCAACTGCTCAAACATGTCAGAGCAAAACCCCCAAAACCCAAAAGCAGAACTTTAAGGATGTTTTCACACCTGACGGTCCGGTAGATTCTGCTACATTTGTTCCATTTTCCAGGTTCGCTGTCACATTGTCAAACCATCTAAACCAATTTAAAAACTTGCTTAACCTCCTCGCCTGTGGTGGCGCTGCATCGAGAACCACAGAAGGAAACTTCACAAAAACCGAAGAAGACACTGAGCTCAACTTCCTTCTTTACAAAACGAAAACAAAAATGGAGTAGTGTCAGATTTTCATGGCTGTTGGATTTCTTTTCAAGTTTTCAAGAAAACACAACGAGCCATTTCTCCCGCTAGCACTAGATTCTTGCGTTTGTTTTGTTTGTATTTACCCAGAATGCTCAGTGCTACGGTTCAATTACTATTTTTGGAAAGGTCTTCGATCCACTCGCAATGTAAAACTTGCTTAGTGACATTTAACTTTTATTGGTTAAGTGTCTCTTGGGCTCTAATAGGTATAAAACATGCTGCTGCGTGATTACGGAAAATGAAAAATGCTAAT